TAAATGCAGTTAAGTTATGAAAGTATGAAGAGGATTCACGAGTCAGACTGTGAGTCTGGCTTCAAGAATGATAGGTAATTTGGCTTTTCTGCAGAAATACACCTAATGTCATATTAGCAAGGAAGAGGACCTTTGGGCCTGATCTTCTCCAAGGAGTATTAGATCATGATATAATTTGTGTAATGTGGCTTCCTTTTGATGGGAATAATCACAATTATTTTAAATTCTGTTTCATTGCTTGAAATATCTGTCAAGGGTATTTTTAACTTTTCCTTCAAATAAGGATAAAATTCAGCATCTAATGCATAGTCATATCATCATTAAAGTGATGTTAACCAAAGACTAAATGGCTCTGTTGGGTTCATGGTAGTCTCAGCAGTTCATTACAAATTTGCATAAGATTTCACCGTCCATATTTTACAAACATAAATAATTTAAAATTTCTTTCTTTATAGATCTTTAAATCATTTGCCCTAGAATAAGCCTCATGGTATATTCACAAATACTGAGGTTGGACTCTCCATCATTGCTGACTGGTGCTTAGACATTTTTGTGTTGTTGTTCTTCTGTTCAGGCTGTACCTTCATATGCTAGAATAAGCTTATATAAATTTCGAGAGGTGATTAGTTGACAGAGCAACACTTCATGTTTCTTCTAAAAATCACCAGTAAAAAAGTATGAAAATACGAATGAGAGGAGAGAGAAGAGAATGATAGTCATTGCGGAAGATGAAAGTAAGATCTGAGTTAGAAAATCCAAGTCTGTTTTTAAGATATAGGAAGATGAATCAATTTCCATTTCATTTTCATTCATATGAAAACTGGTTTTCTTTTTTCTTTTTTGGTGGTATGGGTTTTGAACTCAGGGCCTCACACTTGCTAGGCAGGCGCTCTACCACTTGAGCCATTCTGCCAGCTTTGTGTAATTTTTAAAATGAGTTGTATTAGTTGAACATCATAGAATATGTCATAGTAACATAGCTGTTTTGTTACTTGATGACCGAAACTGACCAACTCTGAATATTAAATTATAAATTACTTTGTGGATCTTTAAAGATGGCTTGGAGCCCTAGAGGAAGAAAGAATGAAAATATGGGAGCATGCCTCTCTGACTGTAAATGTCATTGTTACTAAGTAGCAGGATATCTACCTGCTAGTATATAAACCAAAAATGGTAGCATGCATCTAAAATTTTTTAAGTGTCAAAAAAAAAGACCTTGCTATAAAATGGAGTATGTGCATCCACATATATTTACATAACTGAGGTGAAAGTTTCGTGAAATGGTGTTTCTCTATATTACCTTCATGCAATCTTGTGTTTTTCTGTTCTGTTTCATTAAAAAAAAAAATGCCTATTGTGACTAATAATATTGATTTAATGGGTTGTTGACTCTTGTGATTTAGCTTTCAACAGATGTTTTTGTCTTTTTCCTTGTTTTAAAATCCAGCACTTTACTGGATGCTGTGGATACAAGGATGAATAAGATACAGCCTAGTGCTCAAGGAGAGAAAAATGAAAGTCAGAAACTGCAGTGCTTTAACTGCTCTTAGCAGAAGCATGCCTGCCTTGACATGGAAAGTGCCATATTATTTTCTAGTAGGAAGATTATTACATAATCTGATAACTCCCCCATTACAGGCTTAACTTGACGTGAGATTTAGTTGTGCAGTTTCTCCTGATAATTTCTAAAGTGAAAATACCAAATTTGTTTGCAAGAGATTTGAATTTTTGGCTTACTGGCCAAGTCATATAAATAATCTTTAAAATATTAAACTTCATGAATGAGTAATGTTACTACTTTTCTAAGCAGATCATACCGACTAGCTTTAATGTCATTATTTGAGAAATACTTTTTCCTTTTCTTTTTCCCACCTTTGTATTGCAACTTAGGAAAGGTAAAGTCAGCTATAAGTGTTATGTAAACATTTATCTTGGACCATTGGCTGCTCTTTGCACAGATGGTGACAGCTAAACTATGAAGAAAGTCACAAACTTTATAAGGGAATGAAAGATGAGTACTTAATTTTCTAATACTTAAAATGATTTTGTTTTTATTGCACATTGGAAATAGCATATGTATTGATTTTTCAACTTGGTTAATTCACTCAAAATAACACTGTATCTCAAAGTTAGGAGTTTTGGGGCTCAGTGGTAGAGCATTTAGTATCATTGCAATGCATTGGGTTCACTCCCTAGCACCATAAAGTTAAAAAATAAAAACTGGGAGTTCGGTTACGTTTTATTCAAAAACCTTGAAGTAAAACCTGGCATTTCTGTAGAATTCAGTTTCTGCCGGTTACACCATTGTCACAGTTTTTCCTTTTGAGTGATAGGCTACCACATCGGGTTGAAGAAGTTAATGTCTGAGTGGATGTGGAGGTTGCCTTAGAATGGTTGTGCTGTTAGCAGTGAAAAATGTTTTCCTTACAGTTCTTGTGCAACCGGCCATGGAGTAAAGCACATTTTTATAATAAAGGTGATGAATTTAATCGCAAACTGGCAGCCAAATGGAAATTGCAGACCTTGATACTGGGAGAAAATTGCCTATAAAGCAACTCTTGAGAGAACAGACTTTAAATTTATCCACCCATTTCGACATTGAGGAGTACACAGAAATCATAGGATATTTTGCTTGGCCCGATTAGTTCAGATGAATGACACTGGAGTATTATACTTAAAAGCTAGAGATAATTGGTTTCAAGTTGCTTACATACATATGTAAAAGGCTTTGGCACATTTTTGCCAAAATACTTAAAATAATTGCTGTGTTAACATTTCAGCCTATGATATCCAACGGGTTGACATCCATTTACTACTTTTTGAGAAGTATACTGTATTTTATGTTTCTTGTATTCTTACAGGGAGTTGCAATATTAAAAGAATACTCTGAGTTTATGAATAACATTCAGTTGATAGAATGTCATCATGAGTCATTACTGTTTTGTATTATAGAATTTAAACATAGAATTATGACTTTATTATTTGTACTCCAAGTAGCCTTAGCTTGTGATGTTGAAGATTTAGGCATTAGACTGTTTCTCACCATAGCGGAGATTTGCACTTAAAAGTGTAAAATACGTCAACTCCTTCATTCCATTATCAGTGATACAGGTATTTGTGATCTGGTTTTTAGCAAGCTTGCCTTGTTTGTGGGTATGGATTTACTACACATGGTTTTGGCCAGATGTGGTTAAAAAAAAAAATCAAAAGAAATTTCAAAAATCCTTAAGTTCCTTTATACAGCTCACATTATACAGATTAGTTGAAACTCTTAATCACCTCCCCCCTTACCTGTCAGTTGTGTTTAAATTCTTGTGTGATCTGGTGAAAGTTTCCCTGCCTTTATTTTGTGAAAATATGCCTCCCCTCAAGCAAGATAAAAGTGGTAATCTTCCCAACCCACAAGGGGCACATAATGTGTTCTTAAGTGATACATGGGTTTTTCTTTCTGGTGGGAGCGGGCTTTGAATTCAGAGCTTCATGCTTGCACAGCAGATGTTTTAGTGCATGAGCCACACCTCCAGTCCATTTTGTTCTGCCTATTATTTGGACATGGGACCTCATAAATTTTACCTAGTCCGTCCTGGAACTGTGATCCTCCTGATCTCAGCCTCCCAAGTAGCTAGAATTACAGGCCTGAACCCCCTGGTGTCTAGTGCTCCATGTGGTTACTGGGAGTTGGGTGAAATGAAACAGACATCTGCAGTGCAGTGCTGAACCCTGTGCATCCTTAGCGTGTGCAGTTGGACCGTGCACCCATCTATACTACAAAGGCCCACTGTGTAAAATTGCCTTCACGCTCTATGTGTGAAGTATATGTGAAGCACAAACGAATTTCTTATTTAGACTTTGGTTCCATTCCCAAGATAATCTCATGATGTATATGCAAATATTCCAGAATCCAAAACTGTTTGTTAGATAAGTGATACTCAACCTGTGCCATCTTTCAGACCTGTGGAATACAATATTCCCAGCATATGTAATTTTACATCATATATAATGTTGTGTCAGTGACCAATGCAATTATTATTTTGGAGACATATCTGTATACATTTATCTTCATCTCTCTGTTATGACTGTGCCTTAGCCACTTTACAATATACAATTCTTTAGTCTTTCTGTCTTTATGGCAGTCCTTTTGAGTTGGGAATAACTTTATTTTATAGATGAAGAAATAGAGGCAGACCGAAATTTCATGTTAAGTTTTTTTTTTTTCTTTTTCGTTTTAAACAAAGATGGTGTTTTTAGTAGTTTCTCCATTCATCACAGATTGTATTTACAATCATGCTGTCATCTTTTTTTATGTTTTGGCAGTACTGGGGTTTCAGCTCAGGGCTTCATACTTGCTGGGCTTTGCTCTGCTGTTTGAACTATGCCCTAGCTCCTGTTTTGTAAAGTTTTTAAATAAAAATTTTACCTAACTTGTGAACGCTGTGGGTAGTTTTTTTTTTTTTTTTGGTGCTGGGGCTTGACCTCAGGGCCTCATGCTTGCCAGCAGGCTCTCTACCATTTGAGCCACTCCACCAGCCCTAGAAGCTTTTGTTTTGTAAATTTTTTAAAAACTAAAATTTTATCTGTCTGAGAATTGATAGTCTGATAGTTAACTTTCTTTCCAGATGACTTGGAAAGTCACAGTTTTTCTCTACTCTTTCCTTGTCCTTCCTGTTACGTACATAAATTGCATTGAATGCTTTAGTTACTGTAATTGCATCTTTAAGGACGTTTTGACTGTGTAAATAGTTTGCTGGATTTAATTTTTCACAAGAAAAAAGCCAGCACAGCATATTTGGAATGTCAGATGTATACTATTAAGTTTCTTCCAACACTCCATTTAGTACTGTCTTAAAGTGGGCTTGCTTTTTGGTATGTTATGATAGACTTGTTATACCTTTTGTTGCTGGTTACTACTGATGGCCCTGGCACCTGAAATTGGCATGGTTTTCAGAGATTGTACTGTTTGTTACCTCTCTGTTGCTTAAAAAAAAAAAAGTGCGTTCTGGGGGGTTTCTAATGTACTTTAATCCTTTTTTGTCTATGAAATTATCTAACTACAGACATTAGAGCTTGCTGTACTTTTCCTAGCAGTGCTTGGTTTTAAATTGCTATTAGGTAAAGCCTGTTCTCTAGCTCCCATCAGAGATGCATCTGCACTGATTGGACTTCACTCGTTTTCTAGTTTCAGTGTGTTGGTAGTGGTGGAGTGCTGTTGGAAATAATTTTTTGAAAGATTTTGTTTCATAACAGTAATTGTCACCAAGGCAGGCCTTGATGAGGACAGATCTTTGTTCTTAGAAGTGGTGTTCATTTTGAACTCTTTACTGTGGAAAATTCATATTTGCTTCAAGGAACATATACCTAATTTAGTAACTTTTCTGTCTTTTTGTTTTTTGAGGTTTCCTTGTTCTGTTTTGTGTATGTATATGAAGTCCATCAACCAGCCTATCTAAATCTTATGTGGCAACTTTAACGTAACAACAGTTCGTTGACCTCTGTTTTGAGAAGCTTGTCTTTTTTGGTGGTACTGAGCTTCGAACTCGGTCTCCTGCTTGCTAGGCAGGCACTGTACCATTTGGGTCACTTCATGAGCCATTGAGAAGCTTGAATAAAAAATACCTTGAGCAAGGAAAACTTGCATGGATAATCAATCGTAGGTATTACTTAAAATATCAGTCCTGTATAAAGATGGGATTAGAAGTCAGAAACTAAAGCTTGGAAACAATATCTGTGGTGAAGAGAAGCATACCTTTGAAGTTTTTTTTTCATGTATCAGATCCATCAGAGTGATAGATATGCATCTTTTCCCACTTTCATTCTCATTTCCTTCATAATCATTAAAGTGAAGGTTTAAGTGTTTAGAGTCTTGGTTTTTCCTAGTAAAGCACCAAATGAAGCCATAGAGCTCTGGCTGACTCTTGTTGAAGATGGTGTTGTCTAGTATTCTGTCCCAGGTGTTTATATCTCAGAAGACTGAACATATGTCATCTCTAGCCTCCTTATCTACTTACATGGAAACTGGTTCTTAACCCTGGAAGAATCCTAGTAGCAGGGCAGTGTTGCTTTCCAGTATATCCCCAGCACAGTTCCTGGTACCATGGCAAGGTAATGGTCAGTAATAGCAGATTCTTGAGCATTTGTTTTGTAGCAGACACTCTGCAAATAGTTCAAAAGAATATATTCTATCAAATTCAGAAGTTTACTCCAAAATGATTTGAGATGGCCTTACAGATGAGCAAACATGGACTGCAAAAGCTTAGATGACTTGAAGAATGCAGTTAATCCTTCACAGAGTTCAGGTAAGAATCTGATCCAATGATCATTCCAGTCCCCCTCCCCCAGCCCACCACTGGGTTTTGAACTCAGGCTTTTGAGCTTGCTAAGGTAGATGCTTAAACCACACCCGAGCCACTCCACCAGCTCATCATTCCAGTTTTAATTTGGATGAACCTGTCTGACTTTGCTTCATTATTACTGTTTATGTGTTTACTTCTTTTCCTCTTTATCCATAGCCTCAGCTTCTGTTCTCTTCCTCATCTTTCCCTCTGTCTGGCTCTTGTCTACCATCACCACTTGTTCCTGCTGCAGCCAAGTTTAATTTTGAGGATGGAGTAGTAACGCTGGAGATGACGAGTGAATGAACACAACTTTTGGAGTCAGGTCTAGATTTGAATCCTGGCTTTCACTTACGAATTACGTGATTTTAAATGAAGTACTTGATTTTTATATTTCTGTTTCCTAAGTATAAAAGGAAGATAAGAGTAGTACCTAACTGTACAGAAATCTTCCTGACCACACTATATAAACAGAGCCCTCACCTCCAAGATAAACTTGTTAGCGAGGCACTTTGGGTAGAAAGAAGTTTGGCCTCATTACTTCAAATTCTGAATTTGAGAGACGTCTGCTCTCTGTGCTTACTGTGTGCTGCTAGTACTACCACTGCTGAACTCTTTCATTTCCAGTAACACCTCTTTGTGAGATATAAATTGCCCTCTAGAAAGGTTGGATAACAGCACAGTTAAGAGTGGAGGTGGCTGGATAATCTGCCAAGAATTCATTATAAACTGTTCCGTGGAGATGCCTCCTTGTAAAGTGTTTGGTGGGCTTGCTTTCCAGGGGGCTGTGTCACGCATGTCTACAGTGGGAAGCCCCAGCTCAGGCATGAAGGATGAGTCCTGAAAAAAGAAGCAGAAGCTTTGAGTTTGGGTTCCCATCTAAGGACTCAGTTTTCCCTGGATAATTAATTCTAAAAATCTTTGCCTTGCATCCCTGTAGACTCCGTGACCATCGAAGCTAACCTAACACATAGTATTTGCATAACAACTTCAGATGATGTTATAGGATGATTATGAGGACTAACATTGAAAAAAGTGACATTGCTATTGCTTATATGAAATACGCAGAGGCACTTCTTTAAGAGACTATACCTGGGAACTCTGCTTCAGCTGTTACTATTTTTGTTCACTTAGTTGTGATGGAACAGGGACTGTGTTGTATTGAATATTACTGTATCCCTGGGGCCTTGCCTAATGATGGTACGTAGTCAGTACACAATGTGTATTTAAATGCGTGGTTGAAAAGCAGATGATACTTTATTTAGGCTAGTTCTATTTTATTAAGTTTGTACTTTAAGGAAATTAAAAAGCTTTTATTATATTCTGAACAGTTTTGTTAAATATGTTTTGAGTAGCGGGTTGATCCAGGACTGTTGGCTGTAAATATGTGTTATTAGAAAGCTCAAGAGGAATGAATCATAACAATTCCTTTGGTACAGTCCTGGTATAGAGAGCAGCCTTTTCCTTATGGGTTAGGGGTACATTTTTTAAAAACATAAGACTAATCATATATTTAGATACACACTCATGATCTGAGATACACTAGAAGACTTTAGCATTGTTGTAATGAACATGGGTTATTAGCAAAGTTTTCGAAACCTCACAAATCTGGAACGAAGAGCGTGCATTTGTGTTACTTTAAAGGGAAGGAAAATGAGCTAGAGTAGTGTTATCAAAAAATACACTATTGATGCTTGATGAAGTTGTAAGAATGTTTTGTGGCTTTGTGTACTTTTGTACTAATAGTCTTAATAAAGTTTGCTCAAAAGATGTTTTCTAGGGATCTGAATATTAGGAATATAGCAAAAGATAAAACCAAAGCTATCCTCCCAGTTTACATTTTAATGTGGGGAACAGGCAATAAACAATACAAAAGTACATTATATAGTATATTACACAATATTGATTTGTGGGAATGCATAGAACAAGATAAAGAGAATCAGGAGTGAGGGTTCTGATGAGTTGGAGCAAGTTGCAATTTTAAATAGTGAGGCCAGGGTGAGTCTTGATAAATTGATGTTAAAGCAGAGATATGAAGGAGGTGGTAGGAAGACCCATATTGCTCTGGGGAATATCTTTCCAAGGGGAGGAAAGAGTCAGTACAAAACCTTGAAGGCAAAAACCAGCAAAATCTCCTGTGGCTGTAGCTATAGTCTCAAATGAAACAGTAGGGTTAGATTGGTTAGAAGAGCAGGTCAGAAAGGTTGGAGCGGGGGGGGGGAAGAGACAGCCTGTGAATTTGTTGCAGACCCTTTTAGATCTTTGTGAGAATCTGGGCTTTTATATCAATAAAGGGGAAAATTATTGGAGTCATAGATCTCTGACACAGTTGTGTGCATTCTTTTAGGCAATCTCTGAGGTCATACTACCTTTATGATCATAGGTGTCTCTGCTTTTTTCAACATCATTCTCACACAGGTATATAGTGAAGTTTTCCAGAGGCTGTGTGCTGTGTGATACTGCAACAAATTGAAATCAGAAGATATGTGAATCTAGTTGTCTCTATTAAGACAAACATTAAAGAGATTTCCAAAAAGTGCTTCCCCCACTCTATTTTGTTGGGCAGTGCATTGTTTTCCATAAATTGTGTGTGGATTGGGGGTATGTTTTGCTTTGTTAAACCTATCATATGCTTATTATTTAGAAATAAATAAGCATTTTTCATTTCTGATTTCTAGTACAGTAAAGTATTGATAGATATAACTTCCATGAACCCAAACTGTTTGGGTTCCTCAAAATAAAGTATAAAAGTAGAATTGATAGACCAGAATGTTGAGAACATCTCTTACTCTAGGGTTTTGAGTAGAGGGGTGACATTTCACCTGGATTTTAGCAGGCTTATTGGAGAGAATTGCTACAGTGGTGGAAAGAAGGGAGAGCAGGATAGGTTGTCTCAGTAGATTAGGTAAGAAATAATTATGGCTAGAACTAGAGGTAGTGAGATATGTTCTTGAAAAATGAGTATACAGAATTTGAATGAGGTATGAGGTATGAGAATGGGTTTGTCACTTTTGAGATCAGGAGGAACAAGTTCTGAGGGAAGATTGGGAGTTGGATTGGAATGTATCAAGTTGGTATGTTGAGAAAGCAGTTGGAATATAATGTGTTTGGGGCTAGGGTAAAGGGTTGGTTGCATTGGAATGTCCTTTACCAGGGTTTTTGTTAGGTTAGTCTGGTAATTTTAAAAATTATACCGTTTAGCTTCCATTTTAACAAACTTTCATGATCTCAAAAAAGTGCTATAATTGGCATTTTAAATCTCATACTAAGATTTCCTGTCCAAGACTGTTGCTATAGTACAATAACCACGTCAGGAGGCAGTAAAACTACAGTAAATGTAGTTCTGCCAGTAGTACAACATCACTTAGGGTTTCTGAATTTAGTTCTTTGTAAAATAAACCAATTGTGGTTTAATTAGAGGGATCATATTGCTTACCATGTGAAAATGTTTTTCAGTTCCAGTTACTTTGATATTTGAGGGCATTGTGTTGCTCTTGTTATAAAAACAGAGCTAAGGTTTTTTGCTGGAGTTTTATTTTCCTTTCTAATTCAGTCTTAATGCTTGGGGTAAAGGACCTTTTGGAATGTGTGTGTAATGGATTGTTTATTATGGATTAAAAAAGAAGCGCCCGTTACATTTTTCATAGTTTGAGGTTTCTTTTGTATTTGGGCTGCTGTAACACCAGAAAATGTTTTTTTAACATTCATTTGCTTTTGTTTATGGAATAAGAACGTGGTACATGATTAATAGTCTTAGACTTTTCCTTCATTGAACTTACATGGAAGTTGGAATATAATTGAAAAGGATAATTAAAAATCAAAGAATTGTTACTTAGGAATAACAACTCACTCTTATCTCCTACATAGACTTAACTCTCAAAATGTTTGGCGGGTGGGTTTGGTTTTTACTCTGATTTAAAGTCCCAAGGGATTTGGAATTCCAAGAAGGTAAAATACATAGGAACTAACCTAAATACAAATGTGTAAGTAGCTTGGGTTGTATGAGGATTTGTTGTTACACAAAAATAACCATTTAGAGTCAGTCCTGGTGTTCAGTAATTGAAGACATTTTTGAGTGGAGGGCTTAAGTCCCCTGCCATCCTCAGAGCACCGAGTAAGTCATTGAGTAGATACTGGTCTTTGCCTCCTGGGGATCAGTACAGAGGGAGACAGAGATACATAGACTCCTAATTGTTGGCATTTTAGAGCACAGAGGCCATAATTGTGATCTGTTCTAACTTCCTCATTTTACAGATTAAGAAATTGAGATCCAGAGGTTAAGTTCAAAGGCACAAGATGGGTGCAGGGAGACAAGAGTAAGAACAGGCTATTGCTTTTTTTTCTGCCTTCCACATGTTCTGATAAAGATTCATGTTTTAAAGAAAGGTCATTGTTAAGGGATTGTAATCTTTCTCTATGTTCTTCAAAGAAGTTTTAAAGTATCTGCATTTTCTAAATAAGCATCTATTAAAGAAACTCTTTAAAATTAATAAATAAAATTTAATGAAGTTTTTGTAAGGAATGTCATCCCTAGTTGAGATTAACATTACCTCTTTCATGGGTTGATGGTTTTTATTTTGGAATATAGTAAATGATTTATTAACTTACTTTTAATGATAAGCATATATTTTGAGTGACTGACTAGCAATGAGCACTTGTTTTAAGAAAGCAAGTATGTATAATTAAAATTTAAACTTAGTGCTATTCAAACTGCAGAAGAAATTAATTTTAATGATTTTGATTTTCTTAGTTATACTGACAAAGAAGCATTTTCTTTTTCTTTTTTTCCTGTAGACTAGGAAGTAAGACTTTTTCATGGCATTCATTCTTTACAAAACTGTTCCTCCCTCCCTCAATCTGAATTAATAACTCTCAAGGCCAAAGCAAAGCTTACAGAATTTTACTTCTTTATTTTGAAATAAAAAAAATAAGAGGTTTATGTTAATCCATATGATCATAGTACA